ACAATTCTTTGAATTTGCTTGTATAATCTTGATATGGAAACATCCTCATATAATGTAGATTCAAGTTTTTTATGCTACGCCATGATTAGGAATACATGTATAGTTTTTGTCATGTCCGTCCTCCACCCTTCCATCCGTCTTTCCGTCGAGCTCAAAGAAACTTTCTAGATATTTGTATCAAAGTTCATATGTTGATGCATATACTGATGTAAACTATCCAACTGCGGCAATATTTTTTGACCTTGACTTTCCTTTGACCTTCACTTAACTTTTCTTAAAATTAGTGTTTAGCTTTATTTTAAAGAAACCATAATGATTCAAGTTGTGTAATGAAACTTCACATGATGATACGTACTGATGTAAGCTTTACAATGCTTCACTGTTTTTTTACCTTGACATTTCCTGTGACCTTGACCTCACTTTTCTAAAATTAATGTCTTAGACTAGATCAGTTTTGAATAAACAATTCAAGATATATTTATCAAACTTCATATGCTAATACATACTGATGAGAGCTATTATTGCATTAACTTATTTTGACCTTGAATTTTCTTTTGACCTTGACCTCACTTTTTAAAATATGTGTTTATCTAAGTTTTAAATAAACCATTAATTATATTTTTATCAAACTTCATATGCTAATAGTAAATTCACATTGATGTAAGATTTTCAACTAGAACAACATTTTGACCCCAACCTTTCCTTTGACCTCTCTTTTCTTAAAACAAAGTGTTAAGCTCAGTTTCATTAAATCATTCAAGATATTTTTATCAAACATAATATCCTGAAATGTATTAGTGAGAGCTATTCAGCTGCATCAAAAACTTCATCGTGCACATTCCTGTGACCTTGACCTCCCTCCTCTTTAATTTGTATTTTGCTTAGTTTTAAAGAAATAATTTAAGACATTTTTATGTTTAGCATGCACTTATACGTAATTTGATGAGAATTTATTATCTATATCCAATTTATTTATATTTTAGTTTCAATTCTGAAAAAACTGTTTAAGATATTTTCATCAAACTTTATACACTAATACAAATTTTCATGTACCATTAGTAATACACATCTGGCGGGACATTCATGTCCTATAGACATATTTCTAGTTTTTCAAATCATCACCTCAGGCTAGGGTCAGGCCACAATTAGGGATCAAAGTTTTATTTAGGAAAAAAAGGAAACACATCTTCAAAATTCTTCTTTTCAAGAACACCAAGAGCATGATTAATATGGAAATATTCTAAAAAGGTTTAGATTCAAGTTTGTACAAATCATGACCTCCCAGGGTTAGGGAGGGGCCATATTTTTTCCTGCCCCTTTTTGCCATTCACATGAAAATTCCAATTTTGAAACCATTTTACACATATGCAAAACAAACCAATCATTTTCTAAATGATCATGGTTTAAAGCTATTGCAGCATAAGATATTAGGGAAGTTCTTGAAAGCAGGGTGATTAAACATGTCAATTATATGTAAAAAAAAAAAAAAAAAAAAAAAAAAAAAAATTCTACCCTGATTTGACACCCCCCCCCGGACAAAATGAAAATTCCGAAACCTTACTGCACATCTACATGACACCACCAACATCTCTTAAAAGATGGTTAGGCTGCTGAGTAAAATATAGATGGAGTTCAGGGAAGACGGGGCTTTTTGCATAAAAAAAATCATTCTTCGACCCCCATTTGACCCCCCGGGGCAAAATCAAAATTCCGAAACCTTACTGCACATCTACATGACACCACCAACCATCTCTTAAAAGATGGTTAGGCTGCTGAGTAAAATGTAAGAGGAGTTTAGGGAAGACAGGGCTTTTTGCATAAAAAACATCAATTTTCGACCCTCATTCGACCCGCCGGGGCAAAATCAAAATTCCGAAACCTTACTACACATCTACATGACACCACCAACCATCTCCCAAAAAATGATCAGGCTAGCTTCTGTGTAAAATGTAGAAGGAGTTCAGGGAAGATGGTGCTTTTAGCATAAAAAACGTCATTTTTCGATCCCCATTTGATCCCCTGGGGCAAAATCAAAATTCCGAAACCTTACTGCACATCAACATGAAACCATAAACCATCTTTCAAAAGACGATTAGGCTGCTGTGTAAAATGTAGAAGGATTTCAGGGAAGACGGTGCCTTTTGAATAAAAAACATCATTTTTCGACCCCCATTTGACCCCCCGGGGCAAAATCAAAATTCCGAAACCTTACTGCACATCTACATGACACCACCACACATCTCTTAAAAGAAGATTAGGCTACTTAGTCAAATGTAAGAGGAGTTCAGGGAAGACGGTGCTTTTTACATAAAAAAAAACGTCATTTTTCGACCCCTATTTGACCCCCCGGGGCAAAATCAAAATACAGAAACCTTACTGCACATCTACATGACACCACCAACCATCTCCCAATAGATGATTAGGCTGCTGAGTAAAATAAAGAAGGAGGTCAGGTAAGACGGGGTTTTTAGCATAAAACGTCATTTTTCGACCCCCATTTGATCCCCCAGGGCAAAATCAAAATGCCAAAACCTTACTGCACATCTACATGACACCACCAACCAAATCTCAAAAGATGATTAGGCTGCTGAGTAAAATGTAGAAGGAGTTCAGCGAAGAAGGGGCTTTTTGTATAAAAAAAAAAAAATCATTTTTCGACCCCCATTTGATCCCCCGGGGCAAAATCAAAATTCCGAAACCTTACTGCACATCTACATGACACCACCAACCATCTCTCAAAAGATGGTTAGGCTGTTGAGTAAAATGTAGAAGGAGTTCAGGGAAGACGGGGCTTTTTGCATAAAAAACGTCATTTTTCGACCCCCATTTGATCCCCCGGGGCAAAATCAAAATTCCGAAACTTTACTGCACATCTACATGACACCCCCAACCATCTCCCAAAAGATGATTAAGCTACTGTGAAAAATGTAGGAGGAGTTCAGGGAAGAAAAGTGTGACAGACGGACGGACGGACGGACATGAGTAACAACAATATACCCGAACTTTCTTTAGAAAGTGCGGGTATAATAAATTTTTTTTTATTTAAAAAGACTTAAAATTCTAAAAAGAAACATTACTACACAAGACTTGTAAATAAAATTTTTAAGATAAAAACTTATCTTTGAACATATTTTCAAAAATCCAGTTTAATTGGGTGTGGGATGGGAATTCTTAAAATCTTTAAAAAGTTTTTAAAAATCCTTTTTTACGCTTCTTGACACATTTTTACTGAAATAAATTCTTTAATGTTAAATTCCAGTTTTATGATGCAAATTAATAAAGATTTCGAAATTATATGTTTTTATAATTATTAATTAAAAATTAATGCAGCTTTGAAATCGCGATATAAACGTGAAATCGTGATATAAACGTGATTTAAAAAAATAATCTAAAGCAAAATCTATTTATATTTAATAAGATATATTGGAAAGAAAAGTGACTTATGATTGATAGATTTTTCCTGTTTAAGATATTCCTGTTTAAAAAAAAAGAATGTTACGTCCTTACATGTATTCAGCAAAACTTTATCTAACCGATCTTTAAGACATTATTGTGAAAAATATGGCGTAAGTATGAGAATAATGTTTAAATTTTAGGGGCCTTATTTTTTTTTAAATTTTAAGCTTGCCGTTTATAAAGGTACACTATTAACATCTAATAAAACATCTCAAGAAAATTGATGTTTTATTGTTGCTAACAATTATTTATAAAAAAAAGAATTATAACCCAGTGGATAAAATCTTCAAAAATAATAAAATTTTGCTATATAATTTCTCCTTTAATATATACACGTATAGATAATTTATAAAGTTGAGCCCCTTAGAGGGTCCCTTAGTTGAGTGTGATAATTAGATGTTTGTTTTGTCCAGTAGACGTTCAGGGAACACACCAGATAGATATTACAAAATACATAGACAACTTTATTTAACATGTTGTTTTCATAGTCATTAAAATTTTGAATTTGAATTGTAGTTTGTGAAGAGAGGGAGACAAGAACTTCGAAATGGGTTTTAAAACAATTTATTAGTTTACATTAAATTCATACATTAAATAAATTACAAGACTTTGAAAGACTTGTAGAAGAATCCAGCATATCGGATATCGCATAATTGTAAAACATTGCATTGTATGGAACTTTTTGGCTCAATACACAGTCCTGATTTAACACCTTTATTCCATGAAAATATTTTTTTGAATACTAGTATGACTCCGATTATAACTGTTAAAGTCTAATGTTAGATTACAACCTTTGCTAATGGGCAGTATTCATGGAAAAGGCCCAGACATTTCGGGGTATTCATGCATATTAAAGATCTAGTGCATTAGAGAAAATCTTATTTAATTGGCAATACGAAAACTAAAACTGCAATAGAATTGCTGATTTACAGTTCGTTAACGATCGTTATGGCAAATCGGTTTTAACTTAATACATAAAACTAAATCCAAACTATGCGATTTACTACATTTTTACTTTGCAGAAGGAAACAATCGCATTACCACTGCTTATTGGAGGTTTAGTTGGTGGACTAGTACTGCTATGTGTCTTGATCGTCATCATTGTGAGAAGAAGTAACAAAACATAGGATACAAAGCTCTAAATAAAGGCTTCTATATTTATATGTACCGATACAGGACAGTTAACTAATGCAATTATAACTTGAGCAATTACTAATGAAAGTTATTTTTGTCGGTTATTCTAACTTTTATATTTCTCTATGTATACTAGTTCGTTTTTTTGTTTTTTTAAATAAAGTTTAACATAAAACCTTTCAATGCTTTATATATACAACAGGCAATTAGGGTATCATTGGGAACCTTATCTTTTTTTAACTATCTAAAATATTTATACTGAAACATTAATAAAGGATTGGTTTTTAATGAGTACTATGTTTTCTCCATTGTTATCATCCTCCTAACAATAAATTACGTCATTCTTAGGTACACAATTTTCACTTTCAAATATCATGAAAATGCTTGTTAAAAAGACAAAAATCTTAAATAATGAAACTGTAAAAGTATTATACTTTAATATTCTCAATCATTAGTAATTCAGTGTAGCTTTTAACAATATGAACGAGACTAAAGAATCTGGAAATCTATTTGCACATAAAATTCTTAATCTTTTTCCAAAACAATTTCCTTCCGTTTAAATTAGATGTCCATTCCACACTTTCAGCTTCTTTGAGCAACGTTTTCAGTGCTGCTGTAAAATGTTTGGAATCAATATTATCCAACAGAATCAGGAGAATGTTGTTTTTGTTACCGTCTGCTAATTTCTGATTGGCTATTATAGTTTCAAATTGGCACCATTGATCTTGCATGAAATTGTTTGTTAGAACTAGCAAAAGTTTTCGACTGGCCTCCATATTTTCAAAGATGTTATCCACATGAAATCCAACAGGCAAAAAATTTCGCTCATGCAGACAAAGCTTGTAACTTTCTTTTTTCTCTAGAACGTCAACTAGTTCAGACATTATCCACTTCCGGTCACGTGTATTGTAAGCAACAAACCCGTCGTATTCTTTTAAATCATGGTCAGTCAATCTATGGTATCCTCTCCGTCTTCCATCCAGGCAGTTATGTACATAAAACAAAATATCCCACCTTAACTTTCGAAAAAGTACAAAGGTAAATAGAAAAATAAATACAAAGGAACCAATAGTCAGGATGATGATGAAAATTCGATTCAATGGATGACATTTCATTTTGAGGTAATGTAAATTGCTATTTATGTGACGACCCTTCCACTCTTTTGGTGAATCACACTGATTGGAATGATAATTAATGACTTTTTCTCTGTGTGCATCTGCCCACTTAACGAACCATTCAAGGTCACAGTCACAAGCAAAAGGATTAAAGGAAACATCGATTGTAAAATTTGAATTATTCCATATATCTTCTGTGAATGAATCTTCATGGATAGATGTTAATTGGTTTTTTCTGAGAATAATTTTATGTAAGTTTGTATTGTTTATAAAGCTATCTTTGTGAACATGGCGAATAAAATTACCGTGTAAATTCAAAATCTGAAGTGTTTTCAAATGTGATATAAATGGAACGAAATTCAATACAGAATGGCGTAAAATTAGTTGTTTTATATGTGTAAGTGGAGATAACATTTTTAAAAAGTCTTCGTCTGTAAAAGCAGAAAAATCAAAAAGCGACATGTCTAATGTTCTTACATTTGTACACTTCTGGAATATAGTTTCATATTTTAGCATTTCTTTTGTTACTCTTTTATTGCTTCCAAAGAATAAAGCCTCCAATGATTTCGACTTTAATGCGTCTTTTTCAATAATCAAATCGTACGTTAGCATATCGTTCAAACGTAACTTCTTCAAACTCCTAATTGAGGAAAATGAATTATTTTTAAAAATGCTTATCGCATTGAAAGATAAATTAAGATATTCTAATTCAGTAAAACAATGGCCCTGTCGATGGAATTCAAGCGAGTCCGAGATGTGATTTATTGCTAACCATAGAAATTTTAACCTAGGAACATACGATTTATTATTTGCATCACACATTTTTGGGACATAGGCAAGTTCATTCAACGTTAGATTTAATTGTTTTATGTGGTCAAATCCTTCCATTTTTAGTTCAAGAATGTTATTATTACTCAAGTCAAGTTTTTTCAATGTGGACATCTTTTTAAATGTTGTTCCACTGACATTGACCAGTTCCCAATTTCGAAGATGCAATGTATGAAGAGAACTATTTCTGTACATGCTTTCAAAAACATTTTCTGGTAGAGATGTTGGAGCCCCTTTCACATCAGATATATCCAGTTTATTAATTTGAGAACCATTCAACCATCTTAAGATTTGTAGTATTGACTTGTATTCCAATTCATTCATTGAAAGATCCAATTTATAAATTTCTTTGAAGTGTTGCAATGCTCTTTTAGATATTCCATGTAATTTACATTCTTTGATGCTTAAATTTGCAATTTTCAATGAAGCAATGGGGTCAAAAAATGTATCGTTGATGTAAGAGAAATTGTTTCCAGACAGATCTAAGTTTGTTACACTTGCAGGGATTGTGCCATGAAGGGGTTGTAGAGTTTCTAGCTTCCTACTGGAACAGTCTGCCACTGTGGCGTTGACACAAAAGCATGGCGATGTGGGGCATACGTTATTTGAAGTACTTTTTACAACGAGTGTAGTTGAGAATATCACTGCATATAATATCCGGATGCTTTTATTTTGTACCATGTCCTGAAATAGTTTAATTATGATAAGTACAATAACAAGTATTGCAATTAATTTCCTTTCAAAATATATTGAGTTTAATTTCCTTTAAATGTGTATTGCGAGGAGTTGAACTGTATGATCTCCTCTAATTTATAATTTTAACGTTAAATAGTTAAACTTTTATAATCTTTCTGGATCAGTCGTAAATGCTAGACATGTTTTACTTATCTATTAACATTACTAACTTATATTAAAGTCAATAATGAATTAAACACAGAGTATTGTCTGCCTTATAAATATAGAGTAATTTATGAACATTTTAGTTTACTCTACAGTGTGTGGACATTTTTTTTGGTCTACTTGTGATTTTTATCCTTAACGTCCCCTCGAGAATTTTTACTCATATGGATCCGAGACACCACCGCTTGCCGGTGTAGGGATACAATTTCTGTCCTATACTCGGCACTTACGGCTATTGAGCAGACAAGGATCTTTTTCGTGCCAACACCTACTGCGACACAGGAGCTCGATTTATAGGTTCTCACACAAAGGACGTGTGAGCATTGGTAAATTTTAAATCCAATGTGTACGTACGTTATAAAGCTAAAGAAAACGAAGTATTATAATATTTATAAAGTTTTCGACAATCATTCCTCAAGATATTCTTGTAAAAAAGTTTTCGTATAACAACTAAAAGGTAAATACACAAGGTTTATGGATTAAACTGAGTTTTTCACTATCACTTCTGAAAACACAAATGGTAAAAGTATGAAAAATTCGGTCTAATTATACTTTTTAACAACTTGATTTTATTGTTATAGACAATAAACAGAATTTTCTTTTGTATATTAAAAATGTAATTTGATAAAGAAAGACCAAAGCTTAAATGATAATTATACTGTACCAGAAAGATAGTTTCTCTGAATGTAGTGACCTCCCTATTGCCACGATTCAATCTCATTTAATTTCCTGATACGACTTAAATTTCCTCATGCTTATAAACTATTTATATGACACTTACTAGTTGCCAGCGTAGTAGAAAGTTTGCTGTTTTATTTGCTATTTATGTTTTTGTTGAGTCTTACTTAACCCTTAAACCTTGATACAAGGGTCGTTCATTAAATAATGTGAAAGGTCATCTAAGAGTAAGTAAAGAACTCAATATGTATTCGAAAAATATATTTTATATTCTTCAAAGCATTCTCTGTTCCCCTTTTCACGGCCTTATGGCTATGTACCTATAACCAAAAAACTTAAGCATACTCATCTTTAGGGAAGCCCCAACGACAGTGATGAAAATAACTTCTTATAACATTACTAATTTGTATAGAATACAAACTAATGATGAAACGGCTCTCTTAACTCCCTATGCTTTTTTGCTTTAGTGTTGTTAGGTAAAAGGAAATAACTTATTATTTAGACTTCTGTAGCAGTAACTCTAACTTTCCTAAGTACAAATTGAACATGAAAGTAATAATTGATAAAAAATTCTCACTTTGAGTGTACGTACATGTTTTACTACGTACATGTTTTACTGGAACTCTTGAAAAAATAATTTGTAAAACATGCATGTTTGAAGCTCTTGCTTCTCTTTACAATAAAAAGTGTTTTCTCTTTTATCTATTTTCTTACACATTTTTTCATAAATGTGTTTTGTCCTAGGCATTTGTGAAGAAAAAAACACTTTTCTTATCCATTAAGTGTTTTAGCAATGTCTTTAAGTTATAATGATTAAGTTTTAAGGATTAAGTTATATCATTAAGCGAAATCCATGTTGGCTACATGGGTTAAAATATGTTTCTGTAATTTCTAAGAATTTGAAACTTTATTTGCTGTGGCCTTCAACTCGACATTTAGATATATCGACGACGTATTGTCAATTGACAATGCTAATTTCCATTCCTATGTACATGTGCTGTATATCCTGGTGAGCTTGAGATAAAAGATACCATATAGTCTGACACATCTGTTTCATACTTGGATATTTTACTTGAAAAAGACGTTAATGGTATTTTAACAAATAACTTTAACTTTTCTATTGTCAACTTCCCTTACTTATGCAGCAATATACCTTCATTATCTGCATACGGCGTTTATATATCTCAGTTGATTCGATACGCAAAAGTATGCTCCTCATATGAAAAATTTCTAAAACGAGGTAAATTATTGACTAACAAGTTGCTGAAACAAGAATATCAGCAGTCTCGTTTCAAGTCATTATATCGTAAGTTCGATAGTCGATACAATGACCTTGTCAGCAAATACAATTTATCATTGAGTCAAATGCTGACTGCCATTTTTCACACTAATTGTTAGCCCATTGTTTATACACTAAATTGACAACGAATTTTTCTGTTATTTCCCGTTTATGGCAAGGAGCAAACGGCGGCTTTGATCGGTCGTAGGGGATGCTCAATCCTCCATGGCACTTGATCCCACCTCTAATTTTTTTAGGTCCGTGTTTGCTCTGCTACTATTTTGTATTGTTTTCATGGAATTTGTGATATTGAATACTGTTCGTTATCTTCATCTTCTTCATTGCAAAGATTATATAAACTGGTTGTATTTATTGTGTTGCAATTCCCTTGAATGTAATCTGCAAAGTACTAGTAATAATGCACTGATGTAAACAGAACTCGAATCGCAAAAATTCCTGTTAAGACCTACCTTACAAGGAAATAATTCTATATATTCAACAGTAAACATGATCGACAAATAATTTGTTAGTAGGACGTTGTCAGAGAAAATAAATAATCTGATTTTAACAATTTTACCTCAGCCAACCCCCCCTCCCAGCCAACCCCCGAAAAAATCATGAGTTTTCGGATTTGGGCAGAATTTCTTCTCTCCCCCCCCTCCCCTAGCCTCTGTGGAAAGAAATACATTTAGAGGATCCCATTTAACCTGACCCCAAATATATCTCGCTTGTTTGAACACTATACTACAAAAAAGACTAAAACTTGAGTAGAACAATGAGATATGTAGACAACGAACGTAATCAAGATCAGAGGTTCCTAACCCGGCTAGATCAACTATTAATGGATTTCAAGAAAAGCTCAGACGATGGAAGAATGGAATATAATTTATTAAATGATACTTTGGGGTAGTTTGACTTAAAACGCATTATAAAACACAGTCAACAAAAAAGGAACGTTAGGATAGAGCTAAACGAGTCACAAAGAAAAAGACAAGTTTCATTTTAAAACAACAAGTCTCCACGTATAACGTACTTGTAAGTTAAGTTTCAAAAGTCAATCAGGTTTTAATCAGGCATAAACTCCTTAAAGTTGATTGGTTTCAAGCATTTTGGAAATATCATCTGAAAAAAATAAGAATCAACTTAATTATGAACTACATGTATACAATATCAATTCCAGTATACATGATAAAGTATAAGGTTGGATATAGTTTTTCATTAATCTATGCTATGTCATGCTCAGGATAACATTTTAATTTGCAATTCACTTCCCTATTTCAATTTTAGATAGATATAAAAAAAAAATCAGAAGATAGATAGTTGTAAAATTATATCCGCCATAACTAGTATCACTTTAATAAAATGCATAACTAGATTTCAAACAAAATAACATTTCCAAGAATTTCAAAAGAATGAATGAAATAATTGGTTCTTTAAAAAACTATTTATCAATATTTTACCATCTGTTTCCTTCATTTGCTTTTTAAGATCCTCCAGACCTTCTTTGAAAAGTTGGTAGTTTTCAAGTTTAGTTTGGTACTCCTTTCGTTTTTCATACACCTGTGTTATCGTTTTGTTCAAACTTCTGAGGTCACCTTCAATCGACTCATCAAGCACCCACTCAATTACATTCCTGTAGTGGGTTCCATAAATATTCTCCAAATCTCTTTTTGCAGTTTCTTTATCATAAACTTTTATGCACTTTTCGTAAATTTTGTCAATGGCTGTGGTTTTCTTAAAGTCTCGAAAGGCCGCAGAAAAAAGTGAAGAAAGAGCAATACCGGCCATTGTAGACAGGTTCCCAGCTTTGTCAAAAACAGGGAACCAACCGGGTGTTGTAGTAATATCATTGTTTGGTGGAGAATATCGGAAACCTATCAATATTTCTTCAAGTATCGTAATTTTTTTCCTTTAATGCACTAAAAGAATCTTTGATTTGCTGCTCAAGAACTAGAAAGACACTGGAAACTTTTGAACCTTGGCGCCAATTTTCAATAATACTCATGTATCTTTTCTTCACTTTTCTTTGTAATACAAAAACACTTCCTTCTTTAATGTCCTTTTCTCCAGCTGGGTTTAATATTTCGTTTTTTCCTTTAACTGAGCAAACATAATCCATAAGATCATCACTTAGGGCCGTAATTGAGGATTCTAATTTGGCTCGGAGTTCTTTGTTGATCTGAAAAGAAATGGAGATAGAGACTGCATTCCTTCAGTAAGCACCTTTGTTTTGTATATTGTTAAAATATGTTTTTCTATTTTTAAAATGGTCTTTATATTTACAAGTGCTGCAATCTTATGGGATAAGATTTGTTACGATTTGGTCACGTAAACAAACCCAAATGGAACGATTGACTAATTATTTTTGAGGAGTGAAACTTGATAACAAAGGTAATATTTTTTCAGAAAATATTTAGTTTCCTAAACCATGCATATAAGCTGGTTAAATGTAAAACAAAAAACTTCTACTTCGGACGGAAGTTTGTTTTCAACGCTCTCAGAAAAAAGATAGTTTGTATGAAATGTCAAAATCTTTGTAAGGTCCTCAGGGAATGCCTTTTAAACAAGTTATTCATAAAATCAAAATAACCACCTGTTGTTTTTTCTGAACAAGATCTTCTAGAAATTGAATATTTTCCTCCGCTCTTTTTTTATGATCGGCTTCAGACGATTTAGCGGACGAGATCCTTGCACATGTTCCTCGCTCCAATATTCGTAGAATCGCATCCAAAAATCTGTTTAAACCCAAGAAAAATTCGACAATTTTAATCAAAAGTATTAAAGTAGCGAATCAAAGAATGACTAAGTTACCTTAAGGCAAAGCAAGTCGTCGTTTTAATAAATATTCCAATTTTAGGTTCGATCCTGAACTTTTGTAAAGATTTTGGTGTTGACTGCAGTATTTTAAATTCTAAAATCAAACCTTGAAAATCTGGATTCTACGAAGCAAATTTAACGATATATAATGAAAAAAAACCGCTATTTAATTCCATTCAAATGGGATTCTGCAAAGGTTTAAGACTTTAAATAAAATGATTTACCTGCCTTTTAAATTTTAAGTGTCAGAAAAATCAAATTTTGTAAGTGCAGAAAGGTTAAATAATTGATTTTGTGAAACAATTTCAAACTTGTTCATAGTCACGATTTAAAAGTGTCTTGTTTTAAATAGACCAATTGTTTATTTTGTCCTATGATTTATTTTGATAAAACATTGGTGGGAAAATGTCGAAAAAGTGATTTTTTGATTAAGGCACAAATTTGAGTGAAAAAAGGTAATGTTAAATGTACTGTACCGCCAAAGAAGTATATTGACACCCATTTTCGTTTTGATTTTCAAAAAAGCTTAGTAAGTGTATAGGAAATATAAAAAACAAATACATGTACGTGACAAAAAGTTCAAGACTTTAGATATCAGGATTCAACCTCGTTAATGGATTTAAGAAATCAGACATGTAAAGTCTTTCTCCTCTCAATGTATCGGCAAATATATAAAAAATTTTTTAAAAAAAACAAAACCTTAAATGCTTCTGCTTTCGACTGACGTGATTTCGGGCTATTATTTCCTTCAGCTTTACTTCAAATTTTCATATTCTCTTTTGAGTATGCTGTCTTCTTTCATCTAAAAAAGTCGTTGTTTACAGTTATTTTTAGTACACAATTGACTATATTTTAGGTCTATTATTCGTTATAAAGACCGATGCCAAATGGTGTGTGAGATAAATGGAGAACATAGATTAAAGTGATATCGACTGCACCTGTGAAGTCCATAAGACCATTGGTAAGATTTTTTATGCGCCGGGATCGATAGATCCGGGACGTATATTGTTTTTGTCCTGACTCTGTTTATCTGCAAACTTTAACCTTCGCCATAACTTTAGAACCATGAAAGATAGAGACTTCAAATTTAGAATGCTAACTCCAATAATTAAGCTCTATCAAATGACACCAAGGTCAATGAGCTTGTGACCTTAATTGTGACGTATATGCTAAAAATAGCATTTTGTCTGCAAACTTTATTTCGCCATAACTTTTAAACCATGAAGGATAGAGGCCTAATATTTATTATGCATTCTCCACTAACTAAACTCTATCAAATGGCACCAAGGTCAATGACCTTGTGACCTTTACTGTTACCTGTGTGCTAAAAATAGCTTTTTCGTACCTTCACCATAACTTTAGAACCATAAGAAATAGAGACTCCATGTTTAGTATGCATACTCCACTAATCAAGTTCTTTTCCATGACACAAAAGTCAATGACCTTGTGACCTTGACTGTGACCTACATGCTAAAAATAGTGTTTTTAACTTTGTTGCCGCCGGGCGCATAGTGTTTCATAAACACATCTTGTTTAGTCTATTATTAATAATGTACCTCCATCCCAGTCGCATTCATCTCGGGTCTTTCCGTCAGAGGTCGGTCGGAAAAACAACCCCGAATGTATTAACATCACCGGATGTTAAAATATTCATACATTTCCTGTTTATTCAAATATAATATAGACTGATTTAGAAGTCCCTTCTATAGTAATTTTAGGTAATATCATTACATTGAATAAAGTTAAACTCCATATTCCACAGATAAAAGATCTCTGTGCATTTTTTTTCAAAGATCGTGAAAAGGGAGGGTTGTCATGGCGTCTACCATATACATTCGAGGTCGTTTTTCCGCTCATCGGAAGGGCACGAGAATTTGCGATTGCCTCCATCCATAACACATTTATTTAACATGTCAAGGTTAGGGGACAACCATTTGATCCTGCTAGGGGGGACTGGTAGATTTTGGAAATAAAAAATCTGTCCTCGAAAACGTTAAAAATATATAATTTTGTTTTGTACTTTAGACTACTTGTGTCATTGAAGAAGAAAATAAAGAATCCAGCCTTGATCTTATTGGACATAGAAAATCTGTCCTTCACCCACATGAAAGTATTTTATTTATCTGACTGGGAATAAATTGTGTCACCCCCCCCCCCCAAAAAAAAATCAAATGATCGTCCTATAAGCTGTTAATATTGGAAAAGTCGGTGCGTCTAGCAAAAGTCAAGGTGAAACCTTTTTCAGTGAGATTTGAAAAATTTGGTCATCTTTCACGGATCTCCAGTGCCTCTTGATTGATTCCTTGACTTTTTCCCAAGTAAGATTTATATCCTCTTTGTCCTCGCCCTCTTCACAGGAAGAATAAATGACGTCCCATTTATTTGTCACAAAAATGACGTCACTCGGATCAAAACATGGTATTTTGTGGTCTGAGTGAAAGCGTTGAATTTCTTGTAAAATGATCGGTAGCTATTCAAAAGAATGTTCATGTAAACGTTTACTGGATTTGATAATTTAGAAAAGGCATTTAAAAAATAAATCTTGTATACTAGTATGTAGCGATCGGCTTTTCATTAATGTCTGTCTTGGACTTATTTGTATTTCTTTAAAAAAACAAGATGGCGAAACAAGATTGCCTCAAAATATAAAGGGTATCATGACAGATGTCAAAACCTACCCTATCATCCTGTACCCCTCCTGCATTTGAAGCATTAACAACAAATACGAAAGCCACTGCGTTTTGTAAGTATTTCATCATCAACTCTGCCAGATCTTTATTTCCTCCAACTCCAGGGGTATCTACTAAAATTGTTTTTCCCTGGGGAAAGGTATTATATAAGTATATACATGTACAAGAGCAACAATTTCCACTTTTTACAAAGTAAAAATATTTTTAATACATTATTGTTTCCGATTCCCGCTTATCGTAAAGCAATGAGGGTTTTTTGCGAGCAATAATATTGGTAACATAAAAATTAATATATTTTGAATATTGTATATCTTTTCTTTCATGTTCTTTTAACTTTGTTTATCTTACGAATGCATTTCAAAATTGAGATACGATTTGCATTCATCAAATCACTAGTATTCAATTAGTTAAAAAATTGTTTCAAACCTTTAGTAGAGAGACTGGATACAAAATATCCACAAATGAGCAGTTTTCGGGCATGTTGTTCACATCTGTAAATTTTTGAACTTCTTTCCGGAATTCTGGCAGCTGGTCTCTTGTGTAATCTGATTTGGAGTGGATGCATTAATTTTTGTCGTTGTAGACTTTTAGTCCAATATTTTCTGAATTCCAGATTCTACAAATTGTTGAAGTGTTTTGGGTTGTTCTAGATTTCAAGATGTTTTCCCCAATTAGTGTGTTGATCAGAGTTGATTTCCCAGAACTGGTCTCTCCTACAAACGAGTGTACATTCATACGTTATGTGTTAATTGACACAATGTCTTTCCAAATGATTACTGAAAAATAATTCTTCTTAATCAATCTGAACGGATTATGAGGGCTATTTACTTAAGTGTTTAAGAAATCAAATACGCATTATAACTATCACATCTGATAGAATATGTCATATCATTTAATTACCTGGTAGACATATTTTTTAATAAAATTTACTCATTAAAAGAAAGAATTTGGTTTTCAGATATATTTATCATACTCTTTGAGTTTGTTTATTTTTCATTGATATTAATGTCTGCTTTTCTTTGTTTAATGTACCATCTTTTTGTTAAACTTTTCTTGTGATATTTAATTACCTTGTTTTATATGTAAGGTCCTGTTTGTTTTGATGTGCCATCATTTTGCTAACTTTTTCTTGTGATCTTTTGTTTGTCTTGTTTTATTCGTACCTTTTTATACTCTTTTTTGGGGGAATCAGACGTTATCATATTTTACTTAACTTACAATCAGAACTTGTTAGTATAATCCACTTCTTGTGTGTTAAATTGTTTACATTTATTCGGTCATTGAAATATTTCATCTCTATTAAAGTCTTTTATTTGATTTATACAAATTTAGCATAAACTAGCTGCAGTGAGCTGTCTATCATTATTAGAAGACATAAATTATATTTTTAGATGTGAAAGGAAACTTTTATTGACAATACAAACCTGCGACAACAATTCCTTTGTCTTCTCGGGCTAAATCACAAATTCTTTCCTCAAGCATTTGGATATAATTGGGGAAAACACACTCTAATTCTGATCTCATGTCCTCATCAAATTCATCTCGTTGGAGTAGGGTTATCAATGTCCCAAAAGTCTCGCGTAGTTTGGGAATATCAATATTTCTGTTAGGATATTTAAATTTGGTGACTTGCATGAAAGTCTTAGTATTATTTAGAGTACGAGTTTCCTACTGTATCAGAGATACAGGGCGGGGCTTGAGGCGAGAGCGATAGCTCGAGCCGGGCCCCGCCCTGTATCTCTGATACAGTAGGAAACGAGTATTCTAAATGACTTGTGACATGACCTTTCCTATGACCTCACTAATTTACATGCGTATTTGGGTACATATCACTCAACCAATCAGATGATTTTGCAGAAAGCTGTTGTAATATCCCATTTTAAGCATTCGCAACTGAAATGCCGAGTGAGGTGGACGTGCAGGTATTTATCATTTAAAAAAAAATATTTAGGGGATGCATATAATTTGTTTTCCAAAAAAATTAAATTTAGATTTTATTACTTAGTGCTTTTTGCTCTATTCAACTATTGGTGACATTTTTTTTTAAATTTAAGCCTCGACTTTAATTAATACAAAAAATTTTGATATATAAGAATCGTGCAGGAATATTTTTGATACAAAAATGCTTCGGGGAGAACGTAATCTGAGAGAAATGTGCAGGAATATTTTTGATACAAATATGCTTCGGGGAGAACGTAATCTGAGAGAAATGTCCGACAATGTCCTCCTCCGGTCGTCATATACAAAACTGAAATAAACAGATGAAAGGAAGGGGTCCCATCCATATTTTTTTTAAAACTTCATGTTTTTAATAAAATGTATTGTAACCAAAGGGGATCCGAGTAATCACTGGTGCCCCCCCCCCATCCCACCCTCCTTGATTTTTTTCTTTTTCGCTTTCGTAAATGATATTTGGTAAGCTTGTATACATACGCTATTTAATTAATCAACAAGTAACAATATCACGCACATAGTGTCTTGGTTGGATATAAATCTAACCCCACGAAATATGATTTTCCACTGATTTTTTTTTTTTTGGGGGGGGGGGGGGTTTCAAAGTATTCATTTGTGAACTGCCCCACTCCCTCTTTTCTTAAATTTTTGAATCCGACACGAATAAATTCACGTTGTAAAATTTTATTCTTAATTCACCTCAGATTTTGAGTAAATACTAACAGTGCTACATGTATCATGCTAGTTGAATGATTTTGTATCTGTATATACAGATACAGCTTTCCGTCATGGCTAAAAATAAACCGTATTGTATCGTTGATATTTTGCAGATACAGTACAGTTTCTGCTCATTTGCATAAGAAACGCCCACAAAAAGTGTTCTGTATCGCAGTTACAGTATGCTTGACTTCAAAGGAAAACTCGCCGGGTCATGTCACAAAAGGTTTTAATAAATATACGAGGGCCGTTCAAAAATTACACGGACTTGTTGCACAGAAAAAATATTTGACAACTTAATCTGACAAAATGTCACACATAATATAAAAGAATATTTACTTATATGGTCTTCAAAATTTCATATCAAAATGTTGTAAATTGGTATCAATTTTGAGTTATTTTTCAGGACATATCATTAAGTCACGGAGCAGCGAAATCTTCGATTTCACAGGCATTATTAAAAAATATGTGATTGAGCTTTCATTTTCTCAACATTTTCCCATGAGTACCTGTACAGTTTATCTACTCAACATCCAAACACCATTTCTTGTCAAGCTTAAAATCTATTAAACAAGTAAAGAAAATTCTCTCTTTTTTCATTTTAAAACCAAAAACTGCAGGTATTTATGAGATAAATTGTGATATTGATGACTCTCAATCACGTTCTTTACAGGCCGGATAAAGTTTTCGTCGATTTTCTTCTTCCTGTCCTCCCATATACCCTTTTTACAGAGGTCTAACGGTCTAAAATTTCAATTTGCTGTTTGTGGACGAATGTCACGAATAGCCTAGTTACTACATGTTTTATTATGCATATTTTGGATCTATGTTGACGATATCTCGAGCATTACACATAATTTAACAAAAGTGTGATGCGCCATCAATTAGGAGATGTCATGTTCACAGTCGTTTTCACGGGAATCGCATCGGAGAAAAATCCCTATATTTCTGTTAGTCCTTCAGATATCATGTCAGAAATCTAAATGCATAATAATAGAACAATTTAAAGATACATTTGAGAAATTTGTCGAAAAATATCCCGAATTATAGAAAATTAATGTTAAATTTTGGATTCCGCATGCTTTTGCTTCATTTTTTTGTCGTGCTTCGTACCTCTCCATCAGCGATATCAACATACCAATAATTTAAATAGATTTTTTTTTAAATACATAAATTTTGCCCAAAATTTATTGGAATCTTTAAGATACATATTTCTGTGAAATTTCATTACTATATGACGTCTGTAAGAGTAAATAATAGCACAGTCCGCGTAATTTTTGAACGGCCCTCATATATATAAACATTTATTTTAACAACATAATGCTTTTTTGATGTTAGTTTAGGAAGGAAATACTAAAGCTGTTGCAAAATTGAATGTTGCAACATTGAATGCTCCTTGATGGAAGAGCCACTGCTCACGAAATCTGTTCAGTGATTTGCTGGTGTGTTCCCGTTTTGCACACATTTGGTAATTAGTATAGAACAAAAGGTGTGAAGTGTGCTTTGATAGCAATTATAGTCTGATTTCTGGTTTAGATGTACCTGGATTTACCTGATTTAGCTCAATGTATTCTTAAGAGGTTTAATACAATTTTATAAGCATTTTATTAAAATTCTATATATATCTATGGGAAAATATTTGATTTTATTGAATGAATTATTAATATTTGTTTAATTTTATTTATTCTTAAGTCCAATTTCTTTTTTAAAAAATACGTACTTTTCAATCTTGATAAAATTCTAAATGAATTAAAGATATAACATATAATAAAGAAAATAGTGAATAAAAATTAATTTGAAAATAATGCCCAAGCCAAGAAGATGTTATTATAAGATCATCAGATAATCAAATACATTAACTTTGTGTTTATTCTCTTTTTTTCACTATAAGTTCATATTTGTGTTCTGTAATAGAATAAATAATCTATTTGTAAACAAACTATGAATTTACTTCACAACAATTAAAATGCAGTACACAAGATAAGAAAACGCTTACGTTTGTAAGCTGATTTCCTCAAACACCCGTACGCGTCTTCTGACTCCTCCACGCTCCAAATGCCTGAAATTGTATATTTAATTTAAGAGTAGATGAATTATATCCATTCGACATTGCTACAATATGAAAAGGCAGTGTCGCCTATCTTTACCATTTCTCGAACATTAAACATTAACATTTTAATATATCATGTACCTTAAGTCTGCATTTTCGTGTTCTTGTAATGAAGATTTTTCTATTTGAGTAGACATTGCAATACCTAAAAAATATCAGTTAAACCTCTTCATCCATCTTTTATTTTGTACTTAAAAAGAATTATGGTTGTTTAAAGCATTGCATAATTACAAGATGTATTGATCTACAATGTACTTGTTACTTCATGTTCAAGAAGAGGTGAGTATCAAATACATGTTTGGGTTTAAAAACTCGGCAAGTTACTTTTTAGAATTTTAAGAAAAAGTGAAATCAAGTATAACGTTGACAGCAAAAACAAATTAAATGACCTGTCAAAATTTTTGACAATATAAACAACTACTTGTTCAGTAAGAATGCCAACGTAGACAACAGCTTCTTTAGTATCGTAAAGATATGTCTGCTTTTAAAAAGTATATCAGAATCCCAACTCTAAAATTTTAAGAGACTCAAGTGTTTCCATTTTGATTGTGAAGACAGGGGCTTCATATCCAATACAAAAGCAACCACGTAGACAGGGGCTACAGGTTGTCAATTGGACTGCATCATAGATATACTTAGTGACAGGGGCTCTGAGTTCATATAATTTTTAAGGAGAGTACACTGCACCCTTTTCTTTTTTGTGCTTAGTATTACATATCCAGTGCAAGTCTATTTCTTTTTCCTATTGTACATATACATTGTGTGTGAAGGTTAGATATGGGGCGTTAACAAGACAGCCTATATATGTATATGTATGACAGGACTGGTGTTAGAGAACTGATATAGCCTATAGCTACCTTGTTAAGGTGGCAGATGAACACCCCATATCACTGCTTTGTTTAGATCATACTGTGTGTCTACATGTAGTGCTTTCAATGGCCAAAATTTTGTTGCATAATAATTTTACTAGTTAGTCCATTTCTCAGGATGTGTATAAATATTTTTTTTTGATCCATTGTTATTTATTGAATGAGGGTTGGATTTTTTGTACCTGTCACAACACATGTTCTAGAATTTTTTTGTAATGTTCTTTTGTGACTTTTTATTTGCTATTATGCATTGTGAAGTTCTTATGATTTATACTCCTTCATAAATGACTATTTATATTCTTTATATGGGAGTTGATTCTTTTAATATGGAATTTAGGCAGGCAGACATAAAATGATATGAACCAAGATAAGAAAACTAGAGTACTCGCAAAAGAAACTGAAAATAAGACTTAAGTGTATAAGGGAAGCATAAATAAACAAGAAAGGTCTTGTCAAAGTCAAGTTTATAATAGCTCAAGTATTTTCCTTTTCTCTTGCAGATAAATGCCCGTATTATCTCTCCCTTTGACAAAATTAAACTGTACAAATTTTACAAAGCTTCAAAATTAATATTCTCAATGATATTATGCAAAAGATTCAAGCAGAAAAAAATCTGCAAAACAATTTTGAAAAAGCACTTTAATTTGAAAAATATTAGGGAAGTCATCAACAAGAGAGGAAAATCTTACCTTTTCCAACATTGAATATTACAGGTAAAAAAAAACTGTTAGTAAACAATCATGAATGTCACATATTTCCAAACTTCTTGTTTAAGAGTTTATCTTACTAAAATGTATTATGACGTTTCACTTTAAAAATCAATGTTGAAACATCCATATGAAAATGCATATAGTGTTCTATATTTTGATTTAGTCAGTGATCAATGTAAAATAAAATTCAAATATAATGATACCCTTTGCTGGATTTTCTTACTAGGCTCCTGTACTTCAAAGTAAATCTTTCCTCCGTCCGACCTTCTTTAAAACCATAAAAACTCCGCGGGTTACACAATTTTCAATATGGTATATTTTGGAGAAGATAATCCGAAGGACCACAAGTCTTGCACAAAAAATGCCGATTTTTACGTATACCTGGCGACCAGACTTCACAAGGTTAATGGTATTGGTACTTAAATTTTAAAACATTATACATGTGTTGATACTGTAACTCATTTGATGAAACAGCGGGACTCTCAGTATCGATTTGTTTTATCATTCGAAATTAGATACTAAATACACCAATGGATGTTCTGCATGCTTTTATCATAACATTGTCCATGACATATGTGTTGTCAATAATATGTCAATAAAATGTCAATGAGTAGGTACAAGACAAGCAAATTTGCAAGGCTTTATCTAAGTAACCACAAAACATTTGTATCATTACTGAGAGCATTCTTTCCAATTCGAACTTGTAGTTTTCAAAAGAAAACAACTTGAATTTAAAATATACTTCACTTGGAATTGACTTCTTTTAATTCAAAGAGAAAAGCATCAAATTTACTCTCAGTCAAAATAAAAGATTTATCTGAGGCAGTCCGATAATAATTTCAAAATTGAATTTTCTGAAATTTTAATTGAGGAAAATTACGTTTATTGACAGGTAAATAGATGGATGGGGAAAATGATATACGATTTTTGTACAGTTAGTTCGATATAAATGCATGATGTTCGATTTTTTTTAATTGACATGTATCCTCGAATGAAACAGCTGTGACATTTTTTGGGCATCTTTTATTTCATGATAACCGGGATATATCTAATCGATGAAAGAATGGAAATAATAATTGTTTATTGACAATATGTCGTCGGTAATCTTTATGTCGAAGTGAAGGCCACAGCAAGTATTTTCTTCTTTTCACGTTAAAGTTTTTCAACAGTTTCTGCTTCATATGAATAAACAAAATAAATATGCTAATAACGGGGCGTATTTGGTACCCATGGGAATTCAAATTGATTGTGGATTAGAAAGAATCCGATCACAAGCAAGATGCAGCAGAATTAAGTTGACATGCGTCCGTGTATGTGTTTGTTTTGCCCTCGATTTGCATTTTAATTCTTTTTGGGCTTGAAAATTGTTCTTTATCTCCATATTTCCTTTTGCCTTTTGGCTGACTTTTTTCATACGAAATTGTTAAGCCCTTTTATCCTGATTTTGACGATGGAATGTTCATTCTTCTGTCTTAGCGATTACTATTTAGGACACACAACTGGTGTTTCCAATAGACAGGGAATTTCGTATTCCTCCTAGGCAATTAATCTCAACTGTAGAATTTCCAGAGGTCCATGTTTATACCCTTTCTATGTATTTGTATTGTTTATTTATTTTTTTAGATCGATCACTGATCTTGACCTTCACTTTTTTTCATTCTCCCTATTATTGAAATTCATATTTTTATTTTAATAAGGAAAGAAAACATTTTTTAAAAAGTACAGAACATTTAATAGATTCAATATCTGAATTAAAAAAAAAAGGGAATATCTATTCTTAAACTATTTGTAACACATTTACACGAGAGTCGTATTAGCACTTTTCTATTAAGGAACATTTTATAAAACAGAATTCGTGAATGTTGATTCTAACCAATGTCATTTTATGTACATGTACATATTTTAATAATGTAGTCGGTAAATGGCTCTTAAGAGCTTATGTTTTTTTGTTGATGTAACCGACCTAAAATAAATATTATCCTATCCTAACAGTTTCTTTTTCTCACCATTAAATAAATTTTACGTTGAGCGCTGGTAAGTTAAAAACAAAAGGTCTACGAGTTTTGGTTTACTTCAGATTTAAATTTATTGTCAACCTTTGGAAAAACTTCGCATTTTAAGACACAAAAGCTAGCTCAAAAACCAAAATTAAATTGTTACACATTTTCCTCGTTCAAGGGTTTTATTTATATAGTAAGGAATTGATTAGTTTATTAAAGTTCACGTAAAAAATTCCGTACACAAAAACCTTACTGGAATAATGAACTAACTGATTTATGGTGTACCATGCGGGATAAAGAAAAAGTGTGTATAAAATACAAAAAAGAAAAAAAACACGCATTAAAACAAAGAGCATTTGATAAATATAAGAAAGCTCAACAAGACCTCGAAAGACGAATGCGATTCTTTCGACGTAAATACAACCTGGACCTAGCTATTAATCTTGAACACTTTTCGTCAAAAAATCCGAAACGATTCTGGGAAGAACTTAAATCTCTCGGGCCTAAAAGGAAAAATAAAATTCCGAAAGAGTGTTATACAGTTGACGGGAATATTTCTACTGAACCTACTTTTGTACAAAATGTATGGAAATCGGAATTCTCTAATTTATACAATCCTCTCCCAACAGACACTGTTTACAACGACACCTTTCTCCAACAAGCTGTAGAATTAGTCAACTTTATGGAAAGTAACATGCTTGACCCTTTAAGAGAACACAATCCTCAACTAAATCGATCTATAGAACTTTGGGAGGTCAAAGATGTCATCCTGAAATCTAAAAACGGAAAATCCCCTGGCGTTGACGAAATCCCATATGAAGTTTTGAAATATGATTGTGTTATAGAAGTTATTCATCGATTATTTATGCTATATTTTGAGTCTAATATTATACCTTCAGAATGGCGCCAAGCTATAATATATCCTATTTTAAAAGACTCTAACAGTGACCCAAAAGTACCACTTAATTATCAAGGAATTAGTTTACTATCAACCATATATAAAATGTACAGTTCGGTTCTAAACAATAGGTTAGTATCCTATCTGGAGGATAACATTTTGCTGGTTGACGAACAAAATGGATTTCGACGTGAACGCTCATGTGCAGACCACCTATTCAAACTCAATAGTATAATACAGAATAGAAAAGAAACATTTGTGACATTCATCGACTGACAAAAAGCTTCTGATACAGTGGATCGTGACCTCTTAAATTTTTCACTTTTAAGTAATGGAATAGACTGAGATTTCTACAATGCAATAAAAACTATTCTATGGAAACACAATATCACATGTAAGGATAAACGACATAAGCACAGATTGGTTTCAAAGCTCAACCGGGGTTTCGTCAGGGAGACAATCTATCACCAACTCTCTTTGCTCTTTTTATCAACGACTTTGCAAAAGAAATTAAAAATATAAACAATGGCGTACCGGTAGGAGACATAAATTTAAGTATATTGCTGTATGCTGGTGATATTGAACTATTATCCGATTCTACAGAAAATATGTAGAAAATTTTGGATACTGTGTCCACATGGTGTAAAAAATGGCGCTTGTGTATAAATATGAAAAAATCAGCAGTAGAGCATTTCCGACGTGCTTTCGGAGGGATGGTTTCCAAATTTCGTTCATATAAAGATATAGGGATTTCAACTTTCGAAAAACTTTTTCTGAATTGTGTAGCACCAGTTTTGGACTATTGTAGTGAAATATGGGGTCTTCGAAACTATCACTGCATTGAGATTTTTACAGAATCGCGCACTTCCTTACTATTTGGGGGTACACAGATTTACATCGATACCAGCACTACATGGAGAATTTGGTTGGAAGCTGCCTTTCCATAGACACTGCATTAACGCTGTACGATACTGGAATCGTTTACTGACAATGGAGGACAACCGTATAACAACACATGTTTTCTTGTGGAAATTGAATCAATGTAATAAATATACCTGAACGTCGTAAATTAAATCTCTATTTGAATCGGTGAATTATTCTGAAAAAGTTTATCATAGATTATTACTATTTGATATAGTTGAATTTGAACGAAGATTACTTTTAAATTATGAGAATGAATGGCTAGTGAAGATAAAACAACTACTTAAATCACGTATGTATAAAGATTTCAAAACACATTTTAATACTGAAAACTACCTAGAAATGAATATTCCAAAATTTCGAAGATCTATTCTTGCTCAATTTAGATGTGGAATTTTACCAATTAGAGTTGAAACTGGAAGATATAAAGGAGAATCATTAGAAGATAGGTTATGTAATTTTTGTTCTAAAGATGAAATAGAAGACGAGTACCACTTTTTATTAAATTGTACAGAATATTCCAATTTCAGATCAGATTTATTTACTAGTATTAGATGTAACCCAACTTTGTCTATGTCAGATCAAGAGAGTGTACATTTTCTTTTAACAAATTTTCCTAGGCAGACCTCAAAATATTTATACCTTTCATACATGTACAGACAATCTCTGTTGTACAAAAACGCCATGCGTTATATTGTGTGTATATTTTTCATATATTTTGTTAAAAGTGACATATAGGTCCGATGGGCCGGGTGTTTGGATATTAATTGTATTAAATGTTTTTCATTGTAATGTATAACACATGTCACTATAATAAACAATTCACTTACTTACTTACTTACTTGCTTAATGATTTTTAGGGTGTCTGCTTCCTTATGGTGTTATCACTGTCAGAAAGTGTTCCTTTTCAGTCCAATGATGTCTGATATGTAGGAAGTTTGTATCATGAAATGCAAACATTCTTTAGATACTTAAATTCTTTGTCGATAAAACAGTCTGAAAGATAACATTATACAAAATATTTCCAGCAACATTGTATTTAAAAGATTCTCTTGTAGAGGAGGCTTGAGTATTGCTTACCTTGAAATAAAAATTATTTAATTCTAATTTTGATTATCATGGAAAGATTTATCTCATTCAAAGTCATATTTATGTTTCATCAAAAACGATTCAGATCTCTAAATTTCTATCTCATCAATACTGGAATCTTTACTTTTGTTGCCTACTGAACGTAAAATTAATTCTTTTAAATAATAAATTTATTAATGTTATTTTTTTATTACATTACTGATTGACTGTATATTGTTTACTCCCTCTAGAGATTTTCTCATATGGAGACACCACCACTTGCTGATGGAGAGCAGCAAATTTTGTCCTATACTTGGCATTCAGGGCTATTGAGTAGGGAGGGTTCTTTTCGTGCCAGCATCTATACTGCGACACAAGACCTCGGTTTATACGGTCTCATCCGAAGGACTGGTCTCAACGTCCCAACGTGGGAATCGAACCCACGAGGTATGGATCAACTTCTTACTTCGCGACTCTAGAGTAGACGCTCTAATCACAGCGCCACGCGGGGAACTTCTCTTTATAGTTATATTTTCAGAGGTGGGGTCAGGTGCCATGGAGGAGTGAGCATCACCTGCCGACGGTCACTCCCGCCACTTGATCCTTGTCATGATCGGAAAATAACGGACACTCCATCGTCAATTCAGTGTGTAAATAATAGACTAACAATTAGTATGAAAAACATCGATAAGCATTTGACTCAATGATAAATTGTACTTTTTGACAAGGTCATCGTATCATCCATAGAGTCGCCCGCGTCGCGCAGTGTTTAGAGCGTCTGCTCTAGAGTCGCGAAGTAAGGAGTTGATCCTTACTTCCCGAATTGGAAACCCACTGTGGGACGTAGAGACCGGTCCTTCGGATGAGACCGTATAAACCGAGGTTTTGTGTTGCAGTAGGTGCTGGCACGAAAAAGATCCCTCCCTGCTCAATGTCCCTAAGTGCCGAGCATAGGACGAAATTTGTAGCGCTCCACGTGGTGGCGTCTCCATATGAGTGAAAAATTCTCGGGAGGGACGTTATACAATATACAATCAATCAATCATCCATAGAACTTACGAAATAGTGAATTTAAACGAGATTGTAGTAGTCTTGTTTTATCACTTTGTTTTTCAATAATTTACCTCATTTTAGAAGAATTGAGAAAGCATTTTCTTGCGTATCGAATCAACTGAGAGATATGAATTCCGTATGCAGGTGATGAAGGTTTATTGCTGCATAAGTAAGGGAAGTTAACGATTGAAAGGTTAAGGTCATCATATATATCGTATGAACATAAGAAAAGAAATAAGCATTGTTAATGGACAATACGTCTTCGATATATCTATATGTCGAGTTGAAGGTCACAGCGAGTGTTTACTTTTCACGAATAAGATTTTGGACAAACTTTTTCTCAGATGATTAAAAAAAAATATAGGTCTGCTAATAACGGGGTGCAATTGGCAACCATTGATATTCCAATAGTTTGTTGGAGGACCTGGTCTCCAAAAACCACATAGAAAAAACATAAATGTCCTTGACATGTAGATTTGAAGTACATTACATTTATCTGATATTAGTAAAGTCCTACAAAGAATCGCCGATCCTTGTAAGGAATGTATTTTATATCTGAAAAAATGCCATTTCCATTGTTACCTAACATGTAATTGTTCTGCGATCTCTTATGATCAGGGGGTCTGTGTTTGCTCTGCTCCTGATTTGCAATTTTTAATGGAGTTTTGATCTCGAAAACTGTTTGTTATCTCCATATATTTAATTTTTCTGATATTATAAAACAATTTTGAACAGGATTTGAAGATTTGAAAATCCTAATACACATGTTTTAATATCAAAAATTTTCATCTGAGGGCAACATAATTTTAATATAATGTATATTATCTATGATAAAAACGTTTCTATCTGCATTGAAAGTCAAAATACAGCAAAGCGATAATCTACAACAACTTTATATTCTTTAATCATGTAGCAAATTAATTTGAATCTAAAATCAACAAAAATGAGGAAGCTATGATAAAATTTCACTCTCTCCGGAATTTGGGGATTCTATGACTATCAATAAAACCTTCTTTGGACTTCACGTTTATTTAATGACATTTAAGCATGATATTTCACAAATACGGACATTATTGAACAATTATTCACGATTTCCTACAACAGAACAAATCTTAATGGTATGCGATTAAACATTTTATCTTTAATATTTGAGCAAAACGATAAATTCTTATCTCTACTGACAAGGTGAAATATCCAGATAGCCTTTTTATGTCATATTATCAAATCTTCATTGATAGCCTCCAGTCTGAATTCAACACCGTTTAAAGTACAAAAACATTTCTATCTAGCAATGTACACCCAAACATGGACTTTCGTTTTACTTTTTCTAGTTCCAGCATTTTCATTCCCACCTCAGACCGTGCCTAGTGAACCCCATACAAGAACACATCGTGAAATCACAATAGAGGGCTTATTCCGAGGTGTTGCCAAAGTGCTGCAATCCAATTCACTTGTGAATACATCCCACAAGGACCCAAAACAAATTGTGAGGCATTACTTCGGATCTGGTAATATTATTATTTAATTTTTATAAAGGATATTTTATCGAGGTTAATTTGCCACTTTTTGTTTAATTTCATATTATATTATATTTTTTAACAGTTGATTTGAAAAGCAAATTAAATTAACGATTACTGATGATACACAATACAAGTATGGGTGAGGAAACACAACATTGGCGTCGCGTGGGTGTTTATGTCATATTTACATTTTTTTCCTTTAAAAATAATGAAAATTTGCCTTTATGTAATTTTTATATTTTAATTAGCTTCTTATAAAGCTTGAAATATTTAAGAAATTTTCAAAGTTTACCACACATATGATAATGAATACTTGCAAAATTATAATTGAGAGTTGAGGTTTTCAGTGAACACAATGAGCAAAACAATCTTTAAAAGATTCTTAATGTGAAGAAAAACAAGTACATTTCAAAATAAAATCTAAAATAAGTTTTCATTAATTCATTCCTTCTGAGAGGCAAGTACTTGGTTCATATTAAATTCTTGTCATGCAGCTGGCCAGTGTGTCTCGTACCCACGGTATTGAAGATTTTCATTAGTTTATGAAGACAAATTTTGATATAACATACATTTCCTCTGCATTAGCTAATTTTAAAGTAAGTTAATCAGTCATATTTTGCATTTTTAGAAGATAAATGCATGACATTTTCCCCTGACTTTTTTTAAATCCATAATGAAATCTTTATCACTTTAATCACTTTAATTAAAAAAGCATTTTTAATTTTGATTAATAAAAACGTACCACATGCTATCATGTTTATCTAAATAATATTATTTTTCGGAATAACAAAAAAAAATTGGATTATCTCCCTTCACAATTGAATAAGCTGGCTTGCAAAGTTTCAAATGTTCTTTATAGATGCTGATGGATTTCAAAACTTTTACAATGTTCTCATAACACTAATTGATCATGAAAACATGATACAGAGATACAGACAAGAGGAGGCTTATGTTCATGTGAATGGCGAACAAATCTTTAGAGGTACATGTATAAATCATGAATTCATTCAAGTTAAATTAAATTAACGTTCATATGCATTACTATTTAACTATTTATTTAATGACTTGAATATATATATATAAACATGGATATCTTGAAAGAGTTTGAAATAGCATTTTTATCTATCAAACACTTTTCTCAACAGCCCACATGTACCTGTGTAATATTAGACTCCGGATTAAAACAATTGTTCAGACACTTCCGCTTGATAGAGATTTTCTCCTGCTTAGTATTGGTCAGTATCTCTACACACTACAAGAATTCTACAGCAACACGAACTGGGTAGAATTGAAAGGAGTAGCCATAAACAAAAATCTAGGTAAAAGAATTTCTTCAACCCACGTTTTATTATATGAACACTGTGAAAGACCAAACCAGTTTTAAAACATATGAAAGATATTTCTTTTTTAAAAATGTTTAAAATGTTTTGAAATCTTTTTAATAATTAGACGGTCTTTAATTTATGTTACTTGGAAATGGGCATTGAATATAATTTCAATAAATGTCATGTGGATTTTTCTCTCTGTATAAGGTATTGCATCCAACTTTGGGTATGAAGTTTCAGCTTTATCTGAAGACACTTGCAAGAACTGCGAGAAAGGGTAAGTTTTTATTATGTTGAAAAAGTTTTCAAAAGTTTTTGTAGTTGTGAGATTTAAATATATTACAGTCATTTGTCATCAGGTTTCCATAAAAGTGATCGTTATCTCTGCGATATATTTTGGGTTGCATCTTTTTTTTATTTTAGAAACTGTCGAAATAATGATATCACAGATGGAAAACTGACGAGTGGATATAAAAGTGGTCAAAACATAGAGAAACCAGCAAGTAAATATTAGGCAAAAACATAACTTGTTAATTTACTATTAATCTACTATTTTATTTCATTTTTATTTATGTTCAAATTGTTCAACATGACATGTTTCAAAAACTTGAAATTTCAATACCAAATATACTTCCTAACCTGTTATTAGTTTGTTAGGTACCATAGCACTTGATGTCATCCATGTTCATATTTTACAAAAATTTATGTTTTCAGTAACAGAACAATTGAATTTCTTTCAATGTATTTCATTTTAAGAACCAAGTGACTATCAGTCTGGAAAATGAAAACATGGTGGACTTGGGGATAAAAGCTCTGAATTTCCAGCCAGGGGTGGAATAAATAAGGAACGATATAATGTCAAGTTTTCTCCACACTACTATTTGCATCAACATGCTTCAGAGGCGGCTGTAATGGCAACTGATTATTTCATATCTGCTGATAAAACAGGTATGTTTAATGCTACATTTGATGCCTTATTCTTTTAAATTATTTTTTTAATTGCTAAGTACTTTTTGTACAAAAAAGACTTTGCTATCATAGAGAAGAATTTTTTGTGATTAGATTATACGGAATCAAAGTTGATCTAACAATTGTAATCATTTTTTTGCAAACAAGACACGGTGTACGATTTGTGTACTGACAGCTTCATCTAGGTTTTCCACAACTTGTAACGTAATAAAGATCTTTTAAATTAAATTACTTATACAGTAATATACCTTCATCATATACCTACATTTTGCGTATGTACTATTTCTAAAACGAGGTAAGTTATTAACAAAGAAAACTAACAAGACTATTTGCAATCTCGTTTAAAGTCATCATTTCGTAAGTTCTATGGTCGATACAATGTCCTTGTCAGCTAAATAAATATAGTTTATCATTAAGTCTATCGCTAATTTTGTCTGAAGTTTTTCATACTAATTGTTAAGTACGAGTCTTTCGTCAAGCAATTTTTTACATAGCAATAGTATGAAATCAGATACGTTTTGACATGAAAAAACAATACTACTTTTTATTATTTGGAGAAAGAAACTAAAAACACTTGCAATGCACTTTAGTGGTGATCTCAATACAGGGTTAAGGACGAGCTTTCAGTTTTTATACATGTACGAGTATATGTTAAATTTTGCCATGCAGTATTGTTAGAAGCGGGGCAAACGAATGGGGAGCAGTGAAGAAAACAAAGATTATGTTTGGTGTGTACCTGGAATAAACCTGAGAGGAAATACTATTGGGACATTTTTTTTATGGCATGATGAAGTCAAGTTGAATGCAGTTTCAATTGTTGAATAATAAAAAAGAAATGAGGTTTGACAAGAAAATAGTGTTATCACGAAAGCCAACCATCATTTAAAATTTAAATATGGGTAATTCATTCAGTGTGCAACAAAATTATGTTAACATGCAACTTAACTAAGTCAGTATGCGAGTTAAATGTATTAATGATTAGATGCAAGATATATATAAACATGCGAGATAACGATGTTGACCTGTTGTTTATTTTTTATCAATTTAAACCATTTAAAATCGTTATAAAATCTATCATTTCCAATAGGGAGCTTGGTATGAATAAGTAGCATGTCAACAGATATATCTCGCATGTTGAGATGAAATCGTAGCTCGCCAACAAAATAATCTGACATGTTAAGGACATATGCAACGTACATTGCCTTCTAATCATTTTTAAAGATATTTCTAAATTAAGATACATGTACTAATGTCATCAGATGTTCATAGACACCCAAAAAAATAAGAATGCATTGCCAGGGTTTTTGAAAGATATCAATTGATGAAAATTCTTTGATGATTCAAAGAAATTTCTTGTTTGTGAACATATTTATCTCGCATGTTGTCTCAATAAGTTATACACGTATAACAAAATTATGATGAGTATGTAATGTCAGACACTGATTTAGCTAGTAAGCAGCTTTAGCCACATTAAAATCAGATTATCTAAAAAGATGTTTATCTTGCAGGTTGGCATAATTATCGTTTATGTAGGTGTGCAAAAATATGCCATTCCAGTTCTGTACAGTGCATTTCTGTACAGTGCATTCTTCCTTTACTAAGACCACAAAATCAAGATCTGAATAATATTACTTAACTATTTCAGAAAGGACTTAATTACTATTTTGATTAGGCTTGGTTCACCTGACGGGATTGGACATTTTCCTGCAAATTTGTCAACTTCGAAGGAGAATGAAAATCAAAATGGAAGGATATACTATAGCTTTTGCTATTCTGGTAGATACCAGAGGCTCTATGTCTGATGACATCAAAGCAGTTATAGCTAATTCTGTCAACATTGTGACAAGTTTACAGGGATCCAACAACGAGCCAGATAACTACGTTCTGACAACATTCAACGACCCAGGTTTTCAGTTTTTTTTTTTGCACAATTTTCTCATTTTCTTGAAAAATATATTTTAATCATTAATATATTGCAATTAATATTTTAAGATTTTCATTTATAAAACTTTTAAAAAGAAAATGACAATTACAAAAAAAGATGATGACGATGACATTTTGTTTCAGTAAAGGTAGGCCTTCGATATGTGACGTCAGATGGATATCAGATGATTCGACAGCTGCAGGGACTACATGCCGATGGAGGCGGCGATTGTCCTGAATATGCTTTATCGGGCACACTGACAGGTACTGTCGATGCCAATCTAATTAAAATTAGATATGATCGTTGATCCGGTCCAGTAAGATGATTTCACAAAGTAGCGATCTAACTGTAGCGGGTCAAAGGTCAAATTTTAATTAGATTGTGTCGATGTAGAAAGTAAAAGGGACATGCATTTTATAACATTTAAACATTTCAGCACAATATTTTTGTATTGTCAAAATTTCTAATGTTATGGGTTGTTATATTTCATTAGAGCTCAAGTTAATCTCAGTACATATCATCAAAAATATTTTTATTCAATTTTAGCAATTCAGTTGTCGCTACCTGGGTCTACTGTATATGTATTCACTGATGCTGATGCGAAGGACTTACAGCCTGGCAGATCTTGTAATAAAGGAAGCGAAGAAACGTGATATTTCCATTATCTTTCTGCTTACTGGTACCTGTGGCCGTATTATGCGAAGAGGCTGGTATTTTTTAGCAATCATATGTTGTCTTTATTTTTTGCATCATGAAATGCTATTAAAATCATTTTCATTCATTAAAATATATTTTGTATATTATGGCGTTCAGATTGGTTCAATAATTTTGATAGGTCGCTTGACAGAGAATTGTACAAAAATAGAGGGGCAGAATTTCGACTTGTCTATAGTTTTTCGTAAAAGTACTGCATAATTAAAAGTCAGTAATTCCAAGTTTAATCACAACTTTATTGTTTTCTTTTAAAACCTTTATCTTGACCTTTTCAACTTTATAGATGATTTTTCCAGTGTTAATCATGCATTAAATAACTTCAAAATCTGGCTGTTCCAACTTTAATTCTAATTTTTCAAACTTTTTTTCCAGTATAACTGCTTCTATTATTTTTTTCCTTCTCACTCAACTTTATAGAACATAATTTTATATTGTTACATCTAATATAATATTCTAAAGGATACAGCAACTTCAAACAACTTAATGTCATTGGCAACGAAGGGTTTCCGGAGAAAAAAGGTTTATACCCAGGTTTCTTTACTTATGAAAAAAGGTCATTGAGAGTGATCTCCCGTATGGAATTCTCTAGGCGCTGAAAACAAAGAAAGCATATGTAATAGCACTCGGAGATCCTCGGATGACTCGTACCTCGCACATAACCTCGGACGTCAACGGTGATCTACCATCTTGCTGATTCAGTCATTTGATCTTATTTGAATTTCTTTCAAATGTCATACATTTGAAATCGGGGTTATTTTGTGGCAAACTCAACAGTTTGTTATTGCTTTCAAATTCTACTGACATGAGGTTGTAATCAAAACCTGTTTACGATAAAGAATTGCACAAGTTAAATAACATTTTCAAAGAACGTTATGCAGAGCGAAATATGAAATGAGTGATAAGGCAATTTCCGTCGGAGAAATGTAAGGATCTGATGCGTATTCCTCCACTAATCACATCCGAGGTTTGAATGGAGCGTAGCGGAGTCAGCCGAGGATTGCCGATTGATGTAATAGACTGAGAGGTAAACAAAAGCACGTGTGTTTTTTTATCGGATATATTCAACTCTACAGTAATAAAAGACAAGCTAATTCAGAGAATTCGTGTCCCCCGCTTAGGGAAAAAGTCGGCTCCCCCTGACTGAATTTATAGAATTATTAAATGTATACATGTATACTGATGCAAATAAAATACATTTATGTCAATATGCATATAAAGATTTGATTGCTTATTCTTTATTATGTGTATAGAAGATTCTTTTTACATGGAATATTTATCACACTGTAATGATGATTTTAAAACCTCATAATTTTTTTCATTTCACATGCTGAATACTATCATTTAGTAAAAAAAAAAGTATTTCAAAAGAAAAAAGAAAGATACGACCAAGATTCGATCCCGGGACCTCTCACACTTGAAGCGAGCGACATATCCACTAGACCACGAAATCGCTATACATTGTATGAAGTATATGCAGAAGTGAAGTCACATACATGTATATATTCATGTTTTCATGTTCGGTGTTCTCAAAATTTTACAAAATCAATGGTGTTTGATTTACTTAGCCTATATTAAACAGTTCTAATAGATGTAATAAGAACATAAAATCCGCCGAGAACCTGTTTTATAGGCAATAACTCTCCTCATGCCCCTGCGCTAAAAATAGCGACATGTAATACCATAAATACTAATAAAACAAACGGGGCGGGGCACTTTGAGAGGGGCGAGAGACGTCCTAGGGAGTTTTGGTATAAAATTACATTGCATAAGCTCAAAATCTTCTTGAAATATCGCTCGGAAATAATAGTATTACACACAGAGAGAATGGATAAATTTACGACCTTGAACTTTGACCTTTTGACCTCAAAATCAATAGGGGTCTTCCTTAGGCCACAGGGAGTTGTTATGTAAAATTTCATTCCAATAGCTCAAATGGTTCTAGAGATATCGCGTGGAAACGAAAGTGTTATTACAGACAGTAATTGCTTATTTATGACCTTGACCTTTGACCTTTTGACGTCAGAATCAATAGGGGTCTTCTTTAGTCCACAGGGAGTTCCTATGCTAAATTTCATTGCAAAAGCTCAAAGGGTTCTCGAGATATCGTGTGGAAACGAAAGCGTTACAGGCAGACAGAAAGACGGACGGACGGACGGACGGACAGACGGACGGACAAACCCAAATTAATATCCCCCACTTTTCAAGCGGGGGACAAAAAGCAGCGATGAGTTTGTTTACATTGTGTTGAGGGGGCAGACAGTTAACAGGTCGTCATTTAGAATAGGTAAATGATTGCTGGGAAGTGCAAAGGTGTGAAATAATTATGTTGAAAGTGTTGATAGCTAGGTGGACCGAATGAGAACGATTCCATAGGTTATGTGAATGATGCACCATTAAAAAGTTACTATAAATCCTTGCAAAAATGTTTTTTGACAGTTCGTTTCCAATTAAGTAAATTATAGAATAGAAATAAACAACCACTCTCTTGATCATTATGAATATTGATTAGATGTTATTACAGTTAAGGGAAGTAACTCAAAATTAAAAAACAGTGCTGGTATTTCTGTGTTTTGTTTCAATATTCGCATTTTCAGCCAAATTATATGCATATCATCAGAAATAAGGTTTTAACAATGTGTTTTATTTATAAACCTTATGAAATAAATGGGTTTTAGAGAAAACGTATGGTTAAAAATAATATAGGCCCAATTTATCAACATTTTACATAGGAAATGCATTGAAAATTGTTAAAACATTGATTTGACAAAATCGTTAAAGGAAGGCTGGCTTGATGGGTAAAAAGGACCTGAATTGAACATGTTTGGTACCATTAAACCTGTTCAAAAAATCTTGAAAAATTCTATACGAAAACCAGAAACGTTGCCAATGTCCTTAAGTTTGTAAATAAGAGCATTTCATGCATCTATGCTTATTTAAGGGATAATAATATAATATGTTATAAATATAGTAATATTGATGTGCTCTTAAATGCGGACAATAATGAACAACTCAGTTCGCAGGTACCTGAAGCACATTTGCAGCTCTGTTCTGCAGCTATTAAAATAATAAAGCAAGTGTTTGTGAATAGAGCATTCATTACAAATGCCAAAAATAAAAAAAAAATATTACAATTATTAGAATGCAGCAGAAGGTCTCTCTCTCTCTCTCTTTATAAAACACACAAGAGGGACAATGAAATTATAGAGAAAGCCCCCCCCCCGTTCATGCGTTATTCTGATATGGATTAGGCTAATAGGGCGCTTAGAAACTAAAACCCGGAAAACACCTCAAGACTTTCAACATTATTAATAAATCAATATACCACAAAACTTGAGCGTTTGAACACAGATATTCCATATATAGTTCTTTGTTTACATAATACACATTATACAAATATGCTTATAATGAGTTTACACAACTAAACCATATTAGGTGTTATATTAATTAGATAAACCAATATTACTTTAATGCTACGACTGCACAAAATATATCCAACACAATTGTACTTAACCGGGCAACTTTAAAGTTGAAAAAGTCAAGATTAGAGTTGGAAAAAAGCCAATATTAGAGTTGAATAAGCCAACTTTGAAGTTTGACCTATCAGACAGGTTCGATCGCTATGACCCTGGTAGAACATCGAACTAGAGAATCAGATGTTTTGTAGTTCAATTTGCTTGTCTTTTTATTTAAGCATTTCCTGTTACACCATTAGCAATTATATTATATTTTCTATAGAAACCAAGAGACATAGAAGTTCTAGATCTGATGATATGTTTAACCACATAGCACAAAATACCGGGGGATCAGTTCACGAAACAACCAAGGAAAACATTGGTGAAGTTATGGAAACAACATTGCGAGGAAAAAAGTTTAAACGAACATATAAAGCAAAACATTTAACAGGGTTATAGTTTTTTAGAATTAAATTTAGTTAAAACATTGTATAATTTGGTGTTCCTAGATTATTGAAAATGCATATAGTTCCTGCTGTGTATTCTTTTGCGCGGTCACAAGGTTTTGCGTGTGTTTGAGATTTGTAGGTCGTGGATTTCTAATGGATTTCATTAAGAAAATTACACTGAATATAAATATTGTTTTTGTGAAGTTTTGATCTTGAACAGTTGAATACTGTTCGTTATCTCCATATGTTTCATTAAAAACGTTTGCATACTTTAATAAAATTGTTCGAAACGACTGCTGAAGTGCTTAAACTTTCATGAGAATTGGTTGTTAATGGAAGAAATATTTTAACAATAGAAAAGGGTTTATTGATTAAATATTTTATAGATTTCACGAAAAATTCAAAAAAATTCTTATTGCAGTACTTCTAGTTATTGCAAAACTTGGCAAATTTATATAAAGAGTGGGGTGGTATATTCTATGATATTTTTATAAAAGCCAATTTTCCAAATATAATTATTGTTTTATTTGTGTACCAAGCTATTTCGAAATCAGCTAAGAACTGTGGTAGGACTAGCGTTTTGAAAGTTTTTCACAGAAATTTATATTTTTTTAGTAACCATGACAAAAACCGTTCATCGAATTAAAAACTAATGCAAAGAATTATATATCTTGTGAAGTTTATTTGTGTGCTAAGTTATATTGAAATCCGACAAAAACTGTAGAAGAAGTTGCATTTTAAAAATACACAGAAAGACAGACGGACGGTTATTGTGTATGTTTATCACATAAGCTCTTCAGCACTTGGTCTCGGACCAGCTGAAGTAGAGCTTACAAAGTCCTAATAAAATTATTAGTATGAAAGAATTTAACCAAAATACGATCTGGTGATAGATTTTATACCTTGCATTCAACATACCTCTGTCTGAGGATCAAAAATAATACAAGTAAAATTAAAATCCCACTAAACGAAAGTTGTATTGCATCCAATATCCTGTCCAAAAAAAGCAAATTTTAATATCTTTTATATGAAATAACATGATTTTTAAATAATTTTTGTGTGACTATATGCTATTAAAATATAAAAATTAT